AAGTGTTTTTGCTATAAAACTATGACGAGTTAGAGAGACAGATTTAATGTATTAGAATATTAACATTAGCATGATAATGATAGCATTTATGCTAAAATTAGCTTCTTAGCTTATTTTTTTACTCAAGACTAAGGTTAAATGGGTTGATGTTTTCCAACATGCTAGCTTTAGCTAACATGGCTAAGTCATGAAATTATGTTCAAAATACAAAAAACTAAAACTAAATTTGAATGTAAATGAAATAAACATTTTAAATCATAAAATGAAATGTCAAAAACCTGGTGGTGGCAGTATTATGGTTTGGGGCCTTTTACTGTTCTGTCTTTGGATTTCATAAGTCATCCATTTTTGCCTTCCACTAAATTTTCCATGCATTCTTAACCTATCAATGATTTTGTCACAAAACTCGTTTTTTTATGCTTTTATATATATTTTATTTTTCCCATAAACTAACTGTAAGTTTTCATTAAGTTAATCCAGAAAAACCTGGAATATGTTTCTTTTTACATTGAATGAATCTCTGTTGGCTCCATTTTGTTTGTTTCGGTCTCGATCTTTGGCCGCCCCGCCCGTTTCCATCTGTAGCATTTAGTTTCTGCAGCGGCTGAAAACAAAGGAAGGATTTTATCTGATGTTTCAGTTTGATGTGGGAGGATAAATGTGGAAAAATCCTCTCAGGTTTCACTCTGAAGCTGATTCACCAGACGAAGCTCTGCTCTGATTCTGATTTTTGTACCAAAAATAATAAAAACAACATATTTACTAACATATTTAATGTCCCTTTTAATTTAGAGTTCAGGTTCAAAGATGTTTATAGTAATTAAATTCTGTTGGGTTTTAACATGGTTACTTTTTTTAGGTTTTTCAAAATAAAAGTGTGGTGAAACTTTTACTTAGGTGCTTTTATTTTGAAGGCATAGTAATAGTATTAACGTGAAAAATTATTTTTAAAAAACTGAAAAATTGATATAAATGTAATTAAACTACTTTTGTCACCAATCAAAAGTAATTGATTGGTCAGTGGGCGGGGCTAACTGACCAACCAATCAGAGGTTAGGGTTTAACTTCAGCTGGTCCTTGAATTTGCAATTTTTGGAAACGCAGCCGGACAGAGTCCGTCTTCATCTGTTGGTGTTTCTGCAAAATTAGAACAAAACTTAATTTTTATCTTCTTAAAAATGACAAATCTGAATAATTCCTGATCCTCTGTTAGCTCAGTTAGCAGCGCGCTCGTCTTGAACACAGAGACGGTTGTGGTTCGATTCCTGGTCTATAAGTAAATGGGATATTTATGCATAATTTGGTATTTAATGGGAGTTTTAAATTAAAACACACAAAGTTCATCATAATCAGTCAAAATTCACAGTTTTTGTTGGGAAAAACATGATTTCTGCTTAAATATGATGTTATTTTTAATCGGTGTGTTTTTACTCCAGAAATGCATCGATGTGATAATATTCATGATATTCATGTTTCTGGTTTTTGCTTCATAACAGAGAAAATCAATATTATCTTCTATCTTTGTCACCTGACCAAGCAAACACCAGACGACCGACCCGCTAAACTCCCTCTAAATAATTAATAATAATTAAATAATACATTCTGGTAAATATATATAGTAAATATCAGCCCAGTACCACTTATCGACCCGATAAAAATTTTAATTTAATCACAATTTACCATATTATTTCACAAACTAAATCAGATGTGACTTAAAATCAGAGCTGTTTGTGTCTGTTTCCATAGAAACCCCTGAAGGGAAGCAGGATCTGCAGCCCTGATGTGTGATCATGTTGGGTCTGGCCTCTCCGGCCTGCAGCTGTTTGCTCAGCAGCGTGTTGACGATGGGAACCTGTTCTACACCAACGTGTCAAACACACATTAGTCAGGAACGTTTCTGTTTTTAGGTTTTGGCCTGAAGACTCGTGATGTAATTCTGCTGAAATAACCGGTCAGCAAAACCCAGTTATTAATGAAACCCAACATTAAAACAAAAACACAGTTAGGAAAAATGAAATTCTTCCTGCAGGACAGACTTCAGATCAGATTCAGTCTGGAATGCAAGACGATTTGCAGCTTTTCTGATAAGAGCATCACATTCCTGGAATCGATCCAAAAATGAAACGGAGAAACGAGGACAGAAACCAAACGGAGGGCAAACAATCCGAGCTTTTCCTTCCTGTTGTCAGTGAGACTCTGCAAGTCATGGGAAAGCAAAACCAAACTGAAGAACATGTGTGAAATTCAAACAATGAGAGGAATCTCCAGGTGCCATAAAAACCTGACTGGGACTTTGGAGCGTTAGCGTTAGCGTTAGCGCCTGACAATGTGGGCAGACAGAGGAACAAACGCAGCAATCAGGAAGTCATCGGTTCCTCCTCCGACTTTAATAACGATTTAAACCAGAATGAATCCCTGGGGGAGGGAGGCGGACTGAAAACGATGAACTCAAGCAGCCAAAGTCCAGAAACAGCTTTTATTTCCTCTTTCTTCCTGAACCCTGTTGTTCAGTCAGATGTTTCATATCTTTATTTTCCTCTGTGAGATTCTGAGATAAACCTGTTAGAAGAATATGTACCGAGATCCGAATGATTTCATTTAGGAGAGAAAAACAACAATCATAACATAACAGAACACAGTGGGAGGCAGTTATTATATTACATTGATGATAAAAAATCACAACAACGTATCGGGTTACGGGTTGGACCCAGTTAGAAACCGACCAGACTGTATCAGGGTTGGACCCAGTAGAACCTGACCAGACTGTATCAGGGTTGGACCCAGTAGAACCTGACCAGACTGTATCAGGGTTGGACCCACCGGCTGAACAGCAGCAACAAAACGAGGTTGAAGATTTTCACTGAAAGTTGCCATAAGTTCACATCAGCTAGAATATGGAGCAACATGACAAGAAGAAATTAATGTTTCAGAGACCATCCTTTACTTTTTCCCAAACAACATTAAATATCATTTACGTCTGTAACAGGGCTGAAAGGTTGAGTTTGACGATGACATTTGGGTAAAAAATAACCAAATAAAGGTAAAAAACTTTCCTAACACTTAAATGTCTTTACAGTTTGAGCAGGAAGAGACTTCAGTGATGTCACTTCCTGGCTGCTGAGGAAATTGGACTGAACCATTATTTATAAAAAGGAGGAATTAGTTGCCGTTACGGGATTGAACAAAACTGGAGGGACAGGATTAAAAAATGCTATTTTATACATAATTCATGTATTTTTCTCATATTTAAAATGTTTATAATGGTACAAATAACTTGCAGTTATTGGCTATTTTTACTTGTTTTATATTCATTGAAAAATTAACATTCGGCTGATTTCTACGCTTCAACAACCCATAAAATTTTTCAAAACATAATTTTTAAAATATATTTGCATGTGGCATTACCAACACATGGATGTTTACATGATAAACCTGTGGGACACAAAAGGCACCGAATTCAGAGAATCACCTTCTACCTAAATGATCGGCGCGTCAGGAAGTGATTCTTTTGAACTGACAGGAAGTGATTCTTTTAAACTGACAGGAAGTGATTCTTTTGAGCGGACAGGAAGTGATTCTTTTGAACGGACAGAAAGTGATTCTTTTGTACTAACAGGAAGGGATTCTTTTGAACTAACAGGAAGTGATTCTTTTGAACTGACAGGAAGTGATTCTTTTGAACTGACTGTTCACTCATGGTTCAGATTTATAGTTGTTGAGTTTTGCTAACGCTTATTTTGCCTAATCTACCCTGGTATTGTTCAAAAGAAGAGCATGAATATGAATAATAACCAAAATATCAACACAGACGTTGAATTTCAATCAACTGAAATATTAAAAAACAGAAATATAAATTAGTGTTTTTGAATTTATCCTGAAAATGTATGTAGGGGGAAGCTAGCTGTGCTAAATCTTTTCAAAGTTATCAAAAAATGCTAAAGTGCTAAATAATTAGCTCTATTAGAACCTCAGTAGAAATGTGCCCAACACTGCATTTTTATAACTTTTATCTAATTCTGTAAAGTTTTAATTCTGCTGCTGAAATGAAACGTTTCCCTCTTTGAAGAGCACGAAGCTACAGGCGTGAATAAACACAACACCTCTTTAAAAATTAAGTATTTTTTATACATTTATGGGTGAGAAAGTTATTTAACTACAAATAAATGTCAAAGATTCATTCATTAAACAAAATAAGTGCTTCCTGGAGGAGGTGAAAAGTTAGCACACCCTCCCTGCAGTGGTTAATTTTACTTTAGCTGAAATAATTTCAGTAAGAAGGGACTGAGAAGATGTTTAATAATTTCTGGGCTTTGACTAGGCCAATGGTGAATCTACTGGTGAGTTTTGGGTAATTATTTTGGGTGCCGCATCCCCAAACCATGACACTTCCACCTCCATGCTTCAGTGTTGGGTCGTTATTGGAAGATGGAACTACATTGATCCAAACGTGACCACATGGCGCCCTCTGGTGGCTGTTTAAGGGATAGCAGCTTCTTAAATTTTAAATGGACCCAAATGAAGCCGGATCTGGACTCAGTTTTTGCTCTAAAATCACTTTTAATGTAAGTTTTTGGCCTGTTTAAAGCAGAATAAGCTGCTGAACTGGAGTTGTGCTGTAAAAGAAGAGCAGGAGTCTCGTTGTAAGGTCTTTATTTAGTGTTCAGGGTCCTGGAGCAGCCAGCAGCAGCTCCTCCAGCAGGAGCAACAGAGCTTTTTACACTGAGGAAAAATAATTTAAACAAAGTTAAAACATCTCAAACAGGAGGGAAGATCGTCTCCGTGAACCTGGACACAAAGCGAACATCCACCCGGAGGAGGAGCAGCTTCGTCCTGATTGGTCGACAACCGGAGAGTCGCTGGTTGGGTTTGTTTAGAAAAACCAAACGGCCTCAAAGCAACAAAACACGTCTCATGCATTCACTTCAAGGTAAAACTAAAAAACACGTTTTGGCAGGTAGAGTTTTAAATGTAACATGAATAAATGGCACCGAGCTCCTCGGCGGGGAGGAGTCGCATTTTAGGAACGAAAAAAGAGGAAAACATGCAGGAGACAGAAAAAACCCACAAAAAGGGAAATTTTCACCATTAGCAACACGTTCAGGTTTTAAGGAAGTTTTATTCTTAAATATGTTTTTGTGCTAAACAATAATTTCATCAGAAGCAGGTTTTTTTTTTTAACATTTTGGATGTTTAGTTTTTTTTTTGCTCTGTTTTCCAGCTGCAGGGGCTGATGGGAGCTGCGCTCAGTCCCAGCCGAATGGCTCCACGTTCTGCCGCGCCTCGTTTCCACGGGAACGCCCGGCGGCTGATCGGACACCAGAACCCGGTCGGGCCGCCGAGCCGCTTCCCGTTCTACGAGGCGCCGACCGGCTGCAGAGGAGGGCAGGGGGAGGAGCCGCCGCTGTAAGCCCCGCCCCCGGGCGTCGCCCCCTCATGGACGGCGGAGGTGGTGTCTTCGTTGTAGAGGCGCTTGATGCCGTCGTAGAAGTCGTCCACGTCCATCTGCTCCACCTACAGGCAGACGGAGGTAATGCACACTTAGATCATTGTTGATGACAGTGAGGCTCTGATGCTGCGGCGCGTTTTTACCTAAAACAAGTAAAACGGTTTTTAACCGGAGTGAAGTCGGCCAGTTGTCAAACGTTTGTGCCGCTATCATTTTACAGACATTAATAAATGTTTCCAGAGGTCAAAGGTCAACCAGCCAATCCACGTTTAAAATTAAACATTTTCAATCAGCTGTGCTGCAAAATTTTTGTTTTCAAGATAAACAGAAAAAAGTTTCAGTGGTGACCTTTGACCTCTGGAAACATTTATTTCCAGGTGGAACCACTAAATTGATTGGTGTTTAATTTAACAATTAAACAGAATTAATTTCAAATGTTTGTGCAGTAAAACTTTTTTTTTGTGCCACTAACATTTTAAAGACATTAAGATATTCGTTCAGAGGTCAAAGGTCAACCAGCTATTCTACAAATCAAACATGTCAACCAACTGCAACATCTGTGCAGCAAAACATTCGACTTGTTATAATTATTAAGATTTACAGAAAAAAAAGTTTTCAGAGATCATTGATATAAACTGATTAATCTTGTAAATGTCGACGGGCTGGTTGACCTTTGATGACCTCTGATGACCTCGGGACACATTTATTAACATCTTTAACCCCAAACATGGTGATAAAACGTGAAGCTGGTCGCTGCGGCATCAGAGGGTGAAACTCTCACCTTGCGCTTGGTGGAGGCTTTGCAGCGCAGCGGGACTTTCTGCAGGTGGGCCAGGTGTTTCGGGGAAGGGGGCGGAGCTTTGCTCTCCTCTCCAGCCGCCGCCGCCGCCTGAGGCAGGGCGGGTTGGTCCCTGGGGGTCTCCATGGTCCCTGGACCAAAGAAGAACCACATTGTCAGCACTGTCCAACCCGACCTTACTCATATTTACAGTGGCTTATTGGAGCCATATAGATAGAATTTCTGGAATTTTTCTGAAATTAATCTCAGAAAAATTCAAAATTTTTTCTAAATTTCTGAGTATAAAATGTGAAATTTTTCAGTTTTTAAAAGTCAAACATTTCCAAGAGGAATTCTGCCATTACACTACAGGAAACACATTTTTCTAATATAGAACATTTTTAATTTGTTTATTTGCATCTTTTAATGTTTTTCTAACTTTGTATAAAAAGAGGTTTAATTAGTTAAAGACGCAGAATCAGAGAATCTGCTAAATGTGATTATTTGTTTATCAGATTAATTGATTAATCGCAAGAACAACCAATTAATCATCCAAACAATCAATTAACCTGCAGAATAAATATGAATATTTTTATTTTTTCCAAACATCATTGGGATATTTGAGGCTGTAAACCAGTTTCTTTCATTGGCCAGAGGGTAGAAGAGGTTCTGCATGGTTCTTCTGGACCCAGCCGGTTCTGGAGGGAACCTACCCAGCGGGCGGCGGGCCGGGGCGGCGAGCTGCAGGGGGTGGTAGATGTAAACGGTGTTGGGAGGCAGGGAAGCTCTGGGAGTGGACAGGCTGCGTGAGACCAGCTCTCTGCTGCGGATCAGCGCCGAGCTGTCCATCTGGGAGGAAGAGGAGAGGAGAGGAAGAGTTACACCTGGTCGCCACGGTGACGCAGTCAGGTTCAGAGCAGAGGGATTCAAGGACGCCTGCTCTGATTGGAGGATTCAGACTGAGATGGAGAATGATTTTAGTCGGGCAGATTCTGAGGCAGCTAAACAGATTAAAGTGGTTAGGAGGAAGGAAGGAGGGAGGAAGAAAGGAAGGAGGAAGAAAGGAAGGAGAGAAGGATGGAAGGAACAAAGAAAAGATGGAGATAAAGAATAAAAGAAGGAAGAGGGAAAGAAATATGGGAGGAAGGTTAGACTAAAGAAAAGAAAGAAAGGAAGGAACCAAACCAGGAAGAAAGGCAGAATGGAAAGAAGGAAAGAAAGAAGGAAGGAAAGAAGGAATCAAAGAAGGAAGGGATGGAAAGAAAGAGAGAAAAGTAGATGACAAGTGAGGAAACAGATTTATTAACATGTATTTAATATTTTAGGGATTAAAGTCTGGAAACTTAATTTTTTAAAAATTTTCTCCAAATTTATCCAAACCTGAAAAATCTGAAATGAACCAGAACCCGGTACCAGGTTCTGGTTCCGGTTCAGGTTCTGGTTCAGAGCCCGGCACCATGTTCTGGTTCTGGTTCCGGTTGAGTCCGTTTATCTTCCAGGTTAAACCCCATACAGCAGCGACCGTCTCCCTGTCTGACCAGTGAGTTTAACCTTTGACCTTTACTCCTCTGGTTTCACGGCTTCGTGAACCTTGAGTTTCGTTGTGATGAAGACTCACCTGAGCCTTCCTCAGCAGGTCGATGGTGAGCGCCAGCCAATCAGGACAGCAGGTCTCCAGCTCCAGGCTGAGGAGGGCCAGGGCCAGCACGGAGCCCCTGAGCTGCAGACCAAATCAGACCCGGTCAGTCAGAACCAGCCGCACACCAACAGGAAGCGGCGGCGGCGGCGGGCGCCCACCTGCATGAGGGCGTGGTCGGCCAGGCAGGCGTAGAGGCGGCGGGTCAGGAGGCCGAGGTGCTGGGAGCGGTTCAGCCCGATGGAGTCCAGGAAGCCGGAGCGAGACGCCGTCGCCATCGCGTGGAACTGAGGCACAAAGCAGAGCTGTTCACATTTCCTGCCACCAGGTGGCACTGCTGAGCCGATTCAGACACGACTCATCGATCACAATGAGGATCAATAGAGCATCGGTCTCTCCTCTACGTTAATCTATGAAATATAAACTGAATAATTTGAGTTACAACATTTAATTTCCCTCAATAAAGTATTTTTGATGTTTAATCAGAGGCTGAAACAACTTTTACTCTGTAAAGAAACCAGGAAAAGAGCTGGAATTTATTTTGGTAATCAATTATTCAGAAGATTAATCAGTTATTCAGACTTAAATGAAGATTTCAAGTCTTTTTTATGCAATATGAAAAAAGATCAGTGTTTGGACAGCAGGAGGCTCAGCAGATTCATGAAAACAACTAAAACATGATTTAATGAAAGTCCTCGAATCTTTTCGTTACTGAAATTATATTTCAAAGATTTCTCTGCTTTAATGTTAAGAAAAGTCAAGTTTGACAATTATTATAATAATCGATTAAGCTCTAAGTGTGTGTGTGTGTGTGTGTGTGTGACAGACACGTACGATGTGCAGGAAGTCCAGAGCGGTGGCGGTGTGCAGGTCCCAGTCCAGTTTGTCCAGGATGAGTCTCTCCATCCTCAGGATCTCCGACGGAGAGCAGCCGCAGTTACTGGAGGCAGCCAGCTCCTTCAGAGAGGGAACACACTGAGACACACACACACACACACACACACACACACACGGTGAGCCTCTCCCTGCCGTTCCCCCAGCGGCGCTGCCCCCCGGTGCTGAAGGTTTTACCTCGTCCTCCTCGCAGGTCTTGGCAGCCAGGAAGAAGCAGGCGACGGCGATGCAGCGCAGGTACTTCGGACGGACCTGAGAACCGATAATCAATCAATCGATGGAAGGAAAACACATGAAACTAGAGTTTTTGAGCTGAATTATTAAGTTAAATGTATTTATTGCTGATATAGTTTTGATTGTTCTGGTTGTTTTGTCCGGTACCTTGATGGGAGCCAGGAAGCGGTCCAGGATGCTAACGGCTAACACCAGGGTCTCCGGGTAGAGCTGCAGCCGGCCGTGGAGCTCCGTCAGCCAGCGGACCGCCTCGTCCCGCTGCGCCGGGGAGACGTCTGCATCCTGAAACCACACGACAGGTTACCATGACGACGGCCAGGCTGCAAACTTTCCCACTTTGGAGATTTAAAATACAAATGAACCGAAAAGACGACATTTAAACTCACTATTATATGATCTGAGTTATTATATTATTAATAAAGTTTTTTATGGTGTTTTACATTATAGAGCAGGGAAAGAGTAAAATAAAATATAATTTAATTTTATGTTTCACCCAAGTCTGAAAAAAATCAGTAATTTAACAAAAAGATTTTAAAAACTTGGTTTAACATATAAAATATAAGATCAATAGGGAATAATACGTTTTAAAAATTAAATAAAAAAAATGTTCTCACCAAGTTTTCTGACATTTTGCAAATGGAAATAATTTTGCTAATTTTACCTAAAACAAGAAAAGTTTAGATTCAACTTCAGACATTAAATAATTTTAAACCTTTTTATCAGGTGTATGAATATATCTGGTTTCAACTGTTCATGTCAAAATTTATCTTTTTCATCAAACGTTACGTTATGTACAAACCTTAAAAACAACTCATTGAAATTCAAGGATTTTCAAGAACTTTTAAGGATTTCAAGTATGAAGCCTTCCTGTGGGGTCAGAAGGTCAAATGAACCAGACAGAAACTTTAACTTAATTTCTTTACTGACGGACGTAAACAAAGAGCGAGACCTGGAGGCGCAGAAGAAGAGTTAAAACAGGGGTGTTCAAAGTGTGGCTCGGGGGCCGTTTGTGGTTCATTGAAATGATTTTGTTCGGCCCTTCGTCACAAATAAAAAATGGTGAAAATTTGGCCAAGAAAACACAAAACAGTTGAGAACCCAAAAAGTAGGAAATGTTTTCTTTTATCTTCTTAAAGCAACAGTGAAGGCCTTTTTATGTTTGGATCTGAAGTAGACATACAAACTTCTTTTTTTATTTTTGTTTTTGAGCAGGTAAGACCAGATAAATTACAGTGAACTAAGTTTTCATTTTGAATTTAACAACTTTGGTTTGGCAGCAGTAGTTGAGTTAAGGCGTGTCCAGGATCTGACAAAACGTCTGAAACAAACAGGTGACGACACAAAGCGCAGACAGGGTGAGACCAGCTGATTGAGCTGCAACACACACACACACACAC